TGAAAACTAGCTCAATCTGACTCAGACAACTTACAGGGGCTAAATTCGTAAAAATATCTTCTGTTTTTTTGTTTGGTCACAAAGGACTATACTGTAATTTCATACCACTTTTAGGTTAGATTTGCATTTGATTGAAGTTTGGGTCTAGTATTGGGGTCAAAACCAAGTTATAGGTTAGTTTTGGCAAAAACCCCATAAATATATATAGCTAGAAAGCTCCCGTTGTAATTCTCTAAGCCAAAGCACATGTAAGAATTTCAATTCTCTCACCAAACAACAGCACCATAAGATCACAATAGCATCTATGAAACTAAACCTAGAAAGAAGCTAGCTAAGGCAATATTCTACCCCTACAAAAAAGATACTACTCACATTTCAAGAAACAGTAAAAAAGAAACAGTAAAAAGCATTACCTATGTTGATCACTGATCTTAATTCGCTTGACTTGTTTAGCCCGAGTGAAAAAATCTGTTATACCAACGAACACTAAGTCTAAATCACTCAGTACATCAATAAAATGGAAACTTAAAGCCAAGGAAGAAGAAGACATACTCCAGATAGAAGTATATGGATCAATAATAGGAGTATCTCAATCGAGCGAAACAGAGCATCGTACACCTAGGCCTCGACTTGATAGAAACCCTCTTAATCATGAAGCCCTTATGCAGGCCGTTTGAGAAGATGTGAAGAATCGCAAAGCAAGCCGTCGCAGGAAGAGGAGCGACGTTCGTTCTTCTCTGCAGCCGTATTAGGGTTAGCAGAACTCAGACCTATCGGGCCGGATACGCTTTCAAGTCTACAGATCAAAAGAAAGGGCCCAAGACGAAACGCACGGAAGTACTTATCTAGCTGTCCTACGTGGACTTTCTTACGTGTCGTCCGACGTGTTACCCTTGAGAGGAGAGATACTCTTCTTTATATAATAGATGAATATGACAAATACCAAAAAAACAGCGCAAAAAGAAAACAATGATTCGAAGAAAGATATATATTCTAAATATGCAAATGAACAGACAAAAGTCATGTGTAAATTAAAGATTGTGGTTTGACTTTTATACTATTCAACTCGATTATATTAAATCTCTAGCACATACAGAAGTATGCTTGTGATTGTGAATAAAGATTGGTATAGAATATAGATACATACCCGAATATCAATTGTGGGACCAAGACCCACGTTATCATCGATGCAAAGGTAATCGCCGACAACGACAACGTTGGCTTGGATCTCTTCGTAGACGCATTTCTCGCCGGAACTTGGAATCTTTAACCATAAGGCCTCTGCCTCTGGTAAAAGAGAGCCACCGCATGCAAGGCAAATCAAACCAATGATTAGTAAAGGTGAGATCGTCATTGTTTGAGATAGATAGTCTCTCTAGTTACGTTATGAAGCACAGGAGAGGGTTTTAAGACGATGGCGCGTGGAACTTGTAATATTGGTAGGTGATTTTCTTGTATCCAATAAGAAAAGGCCATGTAGAATTTGATGAACACACGCGCGAGACGTACATGTGAAAACTGCGTTTAATTTTTGACGAGACTAATATCATCTCAATAGGGAAGTAAAAATCAACAAAGATTTTTCAATTCCAAACTAGATTTTCTAATAAATAGATTTTATTCTCTTACTCAGTTCTAACAAAAGATTACTTTTCTTTTTGGTGAAAATAACATTTTGCATAGCATTGTTATTTGTTTATTTGGACAAGTTTTGCATATCATTATTTATTTAATATGATTATTAGTAGGTATATGGGCCTATTAACATCTAAATGTAATGCTTCACTTTGTGCATATCTTTGCCGAATGTATACTTTACTTTGTGCATTAGGATAAGACCCGCATCTTGCGCGGGATAAACTTATTATTTTTATTATGTTTTGGAAAATGAAACAAAAGTTCGGTTTCATCTGGCTTAAGGGTGTTCAATATGGATATCGGATTTCGGTATTTCGGTTATTAAAATATAACTACTATTCTAAATCTATATTTACTTCAGTTTGATTTGGTTTAGATATTGGTTTTCAGTTTATTCAATATTATACCAAAATACATTATTATTTTGTTTGAGATCATATTATATATTATAAAAATAAATAATATGATCATATTTAGAGTCATATTGTTAAAAAGTCATTTAGTAAAAAAAATATTACATATTTAAGTAAAAGAATAAAAAACAAAAAAAGCTTCTATCATCTAATAAAATGATCAAATTTAGAATTAATATCAAATCTCTAAATTTTGAAAATAAAAATAAAAACAAAACAGAAGCATGAAAGAAAAGTTTTTATATTCTTCTATATTTAGTGTTCATCAAATTAATATGCCTTCGATTGAACACAACTCTGTTTGTTTAAAGATTAAAAAAAAATTATATAGAATTTCAACTAATTGTTGTCCATCAAATTTATAATTTTTACTTCAATTTAGTTATTATTAAAAAAAGCAAAAAAGATAAAAAAAAGACTAAGAAAATAAGAAGTCTCAGTTGCATTGAATTGTTAGTTAATTATAGTTCAAGTGATTCAAATGATTTACAAATCATAATTATAATTCAACTCATGTAACAAATAGATATACATATTTACATGTTTCAGTTTAATCGGTTATAAATCAAAGCATATCCAAATCTTACGGTTTTTATAAAATCACATATATTCGGTTTGTATGGTATATACCAAAAATAACCATATTATCGATTGTGTTAATATCTTTTAAAAATATAAAATTACAAAAAAGAACTAATATATTTAAATCATTGATAACAAAAAATTTCAATGTGAAAAATTTAATACGTTTATAATTTATAAATTTTCTTGAAAATTCATTGAAATTTGTAAAATTAAAATAATTATGTAATCTTATATGGTATATAGTTTAATCTATATATATATTATATATTTGTTTTATTATTGAATGATACTTTTTACTCATATGGTTTTAAAATCATGTGTATATTTTTCTAATAAAAATGTTAAACTATTGATCATTAATTTTTAACATAATAATTTTAATTATTTTAGTAATTTATTCTCGGTTTTTTAAATTCAAAATATAACATATACGAAAAAATCTAAAGTTTAATTATATAGGTAATTTGATTGTTTGAATTATTTTAATAATATAAAATTAAATAAAAATGATGGAGGAGATACAAATTGTTATCAAATATTTATTATTAGAAACATTAATTGTCATATATATATATATATATATATTTGTCATTTATGGTAATTCCGTAGTTTTTATTTAAGAAAAGAAAATAAAATAGTAATTATATCTAGCAGAATAATCATAAATGTTTCTATCATAAATATCGTACTATATCATATAGTTTGACCAACAAATATCTAACGCCATATAAAAATCGAATGTGGACCTACTTATTTTTCAATTGAATGTAATTGACTGCCTAATTGAGTGACACGTAAGCATGAGTTCTTTTTTAATTATTACAAAATTAAAGTTACAATTTTTCAAATTTTTCTCAATTAATATATAGGGGATATCTTACACTTTCTTAGACTTTTGGAATCTTCACTATCCGTTATCTTTGCCGAATGGATACAACTTACCATATGTTTTGTTCACTACTAGTTTCACTAACATATAGCATATAGCAAATACATATAGCAAACCATGCTAAAGTTATGGTAATACATAGTCATATATTATACAGATTATACTGTAAAGTTATGAAGGAAACAAAATATTAAAACCAACATATAGCAAACCATGCTAAAGCCGATGTATAAGGTCGATATGAGGTACAATGATCAAATGAACAATCATGTGTTCCTGAGCCTTGATTGATGCGGGATGCAGTTAGGTTTTTCAGTATCCATGCTAATCCATTTCTTTTTGATTACTTATCCCAGGTTGCATCTGATCTGCATGTTGTAATCCTAGATTCACAAGTTGAAAGTTACTGGTCTCCTACCAGGTGAGGAAAAGCTCTCGTCTTTTTTTTTTTTGGATTAGTCCATGTGCAAAGGTACATTCACTTGCTAATCTTACTCCCTTTGTTGCAATCTCTATAGGTGAAGAAGGTTTGTTCTCGAAGATGAGTAGATTCCAAACCGTCCAAAGAGCCTAGCAGATCCATGGGAGTAGGGTCAGTTATTTTTTCTTTTTATTAAACGTACCTGAAGATGAGAAGACAATTTATCCACGTAGATAGATGAAAACTATTGTACATTTGTAGACATAATGCATTGTCTCTTTGACAAATTTATTCATAACGATTCACCATGAATAAACGAAGTATCACACACCTACCCAACCTCTAGAAGAAAGATCAAATACTTTGGGTCTAAATGGTAACATAAGGAATAAAAGAGAATAACCAATTCCTACTTATTCTTTAAAAAATACACCATTCATAAGAAATATTTCATGTGTATGATTCCTTGTCATTCCTTGAATTCTAAGGAATTATAGAACAAAAATATTCCTTATCAAAATTGATATGGAACCAAAGTAATAAATATTCTTTTTCATTCCTTTTATTTTGTTCCTACTTATTATTTTCCTACTCATTTTTATTTAATGGTCACCAGTTAAAGTCTTTTTATATTTTATGATTCCAACTTTACAAAACCCACTTCTCAAAAAAATATTCAAATTTTAGTTATCACAAAAAAAAAAACATATTCAATTTTCCAAAAGTCCAACAATTTAATCCACAAAAATAAATTAAAAAAAAAAAATATAAAAAAAAAAACTCAAGGCAGCAACTTTCTTCTTATTCTCCCCACTTGATTGCGAGAGAGAGAGAGAGAAAGAGAAAGGTCGAGAGGGTCTTTTCATCTTCCTTCATCCTCATCGTTTCGCCTCTCTCCCCAGAATGCTCATCAGAAACAATCTCCTTTTCCTCTCCTTGATGTGTTTTCTCTTCTAATCTCCGGCGAGCGATAACCCAAAACAGAGATCCAAAAGACAGAGGAGGAGAGAAAAAAACAGAGGAGAGAGAGAGAGAGAGATAAGCTGTCCATGGCCGCCGCTACGACAGAGAAGGAAGCTATGGTGGATCCTTTTCTGGTCGAAACTCTCCAGAATCCTCGTCATCGTCTCACCAGTTAGTCAATTCTCTCCCCAAACCCTCGATTCAATTTCACTTCCTCTGTCTTTCGTATTGATCTGATTTTGGTCATCTCATTAGCTTTCTAGGGTTTGATAGAATTGGGGAATCATGGGTTTCTCTAAAGTTCAATCCTTTGCTCGATTCATTGCTTTGGTGATTAGGGTTTGGCTATAAAGATCCATATCACTCTGTTTTGCATTACCTTTGGTCCTCTCTAAACTCACTTTTCATTTCAATAGAAGTTTAATTTCTATATCTGGAAAGATTCTCTTTAAATATGGTTGATGGGTGATTAAAAGTTTACATCTTTTTGTTGTTACGTGTGTTTCAGTTTTGCGTATGGAGCTTGACATACAAAAGTTCTTTCAAAGCCCTGACCAGCTCCAATTCGAGTTCCAGCCTTTTCCAACATCATACCTACGTCTCGCTGCACATAGAGTTGCTCAGCATTATGGACTAGTGACCATGGCTTTGGAGAACGCTAACGGTGCTGTAGACGGATCTGATAACAGAATCTTGGTAACTAAGACAGCAGAGAGTAGGTTTCCTTGTGTCTGTTTATCAGAAATCCCTGTTAAGCAACCTGAGAATGGTAGTAGACCAGAGGGTTTCAAGATTGCGATTAAGGCTAGACCGAAGAGAGGCTCTGGAAGCGGAGGTAGCGGGTCAGGAGTTCAGCAGAATCTTCTGAGAAGTGTTGAGGAGAGGAAAGAAGAGTATGATAAGGCTCGAGCTCGGATCTTTAACAGTCCTAGTAGTTCTGACTCTGAAGATTCTTCATCGCTTCGAGCTCCTCCTCCTCCTCTTCCTATTGAAGGTGTAATAAACCGAAATGAGAGTGAGGTGGCGGTTAGTAATGTTTCTGTTGATGCTGGTTCTCGGACTGTAGCCATTATCAGAGATAGAGAGAAAGATCGGTATGATCCGGATTATGACAGGAGCTATGACAGATATGTTGCGGATCCTGCATACAGGTAAACCTTTTGCATTTCTTCTTAGACATCTGACATTCAAGAAATTTGACATTGGTTTTTGCTAATGTAATGTCTTTGATCTTGTTGTGATGTTTGTAGGTACGTTAGGGTTATGCCCTCTGGTCAAAGCTTCAATCCGATGCCAATGCACCTTCCATTTCATGATGGGGGTTTCCCGCAGATGCCAAGAGGTCCTCAAGCTAATCTAAACTACGTGCATCCGGCTATGAGTCCCTTTAACAACCCGGCTGCTTATACACCGTGGCCAAACTTGCCCTCTATGAACTATGTGCAGTCGTTGAACCGTCCAGACTTCAGGTTGTTCATACTAAACTGTTGTTGTTTTCGCCATTTGATTATCCCTCATAACCATTGCTTACTCTTTTCTTTTCTCTGCAGGCATCCTTCTGCGAGCAATCCCTGACAACAACCTAGTGTTTTTGAGTACTTAAGTGTCTGTATTAAGAAACATAATTTATATAGATATTATCAGCACTCGCTGCTTCCTTCTTGTATAACAAGACATCTATTCTCTCATTTGAATTTCTTTCGTAATTATATTATTATGGAACTTTGAATTAACCTTAAACCAATCTTTGATGATGGCGTCTCCACATTGTTGATCAAATTGTTCATAGGATATTGGAATTTGGTTCTTAAACGAGATCCTTATCTTTATTGAAAAAAAAAACATAGACTGGGGTTTGGCTTGGTGAGACAAGATCATGAGAGAACATGCAAGAGATGAACCCACCACCACCACCATCTGCTTTAAATCATTCCCCTCCCAAGTAACCTAATTTTCATTATCACAGCTAAAAGTTTATCATACTACTTTTATTGTGTTTGGTCCGCAGAATAATTCCAAACATTTGCATATATGCAACTTTATAGTGATTGATAGTAGTAGGTATGATTAAAGAAGCGAGCACCAGATCCTAGATTCTGATTCTGCCTCCCATTGTCTCTTTTGCTTTTAGTGGTTGCCTCAATGGAATCATTATTATCATTGGTCAATCACACAAATATAATATCCTCTCCGAAACACATTTTTCAGATTTATATCACCAGATTCTTCATTCCTTTAATCCAAAACTTAAAGATGACGCAAAGTTATAAAAAAAAAAACTAAACAGAGTATGAGCAGGTCTAGTAGCAAAGAACATTCCGAAGTAAAAAAAAAAACCATGAAGATCGATTCTTTTTCCAAATGTGTATAACTCTTATCTTCACAAGAATCAAAAAGGAGAAGCTACAAGGGACTAAAGCCAGTCAATGACCAGAAAGGCTTCAGACACAGAACTGAAGTGGATCACAAGGATTGCATCAATGTTTAACAGATGAAGACTGCATAGAACTTGTATCAATGTTTATGGAAACTACATTTTGAAACATGTAAAGGATTCAATTTGGATGGTCACAAAAGAGTGTGATCATTATCAACAGCTAGTACTTGGCCTACATTGATCAAAGTGTTTTTTAACCGTCTCAAGTTGGGAATAAAGTCAAGACTGTTCTTCCTCCATTATTAGCCTTTGCAGACTCCAACTCATCAACATAGTTACTAACTGAACTCTGCAACAACGGTGCAGACATTCTCTGAAGTGAACTGAACTGTCCATTTGTCAGAGAACCAAAACGAGCGGCTGAGATTTGACGTTGGTGAAACTGAGTCGGTTGCAGCTGAACATTACCAACCGCAACCATTTGTTGCTGCTGCTGCTGAAGCGTTGCGACTGGGACAAAAGACGGCGGGAGAAGAAAATGAGCTGGCACGGGAGAGCTCGCAAACAGACGATCCGTCACCGGATCCGATCCACCTCCGCCGCCACCTTGCATCCTCTTGAGGTAAACCCTGTATTTCTGCAAATGACTCGCGACGTTCTCTCTCGTCAGCCCTTCGACGCTCATGAACTGCATGATCGTCTTGGGAACCGCGTTCTTGATCCCGAGATTCGCCACCGCGTCCACGAAGCGTTTGTGTAGCTGCGGGGTCCACACGAGGCGAGGCCGTTTGAGAGTCCGTGCTGATTCGGTGGCTCCGGAGGAGAGTGGATCTGCTGAATCCGCGGCGAATTCGGCGGAGGAGTTGGCTTGAGAGGGCGTGGATTGGTGGTGAATGTCGAAGGCGAGAGCGAGATGGGGAGGGATGAGAGATTGAGATAAAGGGATGAGGTCCTCTGGAAATGGAAGATCTTCTTCACATCTTGTGAACCAGTCGGAGTCGTCTTCTCTCATTGTCAAAGTGGCACAGAGAAAGAAAGAAACTAAAAATGGGATGAAACTTTTGTCGGGAAATTACTAATTGAGAAACAGAATCAAAGAGAAATGAGTTTGGCGCGGTGAATGTTCTTTTATTTTTAGTTCAGATTATTGGATTGTTTTCTGGAGAGAGTTCAATCATATGGATCGTATTAATGAGCTAACTTTGGCGCGTGGAGTCCAAGCTTGTA